CCTGTTCATATCCTTTGCCCATTTTTTAATTGGGTTATTTGTCTTTTTGTTGTTGAGGTTTTACAGTATCTTGTAGATTTTAGAGATTAGACTCTCATTGTTACAGCTGAGGTTCACAAAGGTTAAATGATTTGCCAATAAGGAGTAGATCTAATACTGAACTCACATCCGTTGACTTTATATTTGAAAATCTCTTTTTTTAACAGTAGGTTGCTTTATAGTGTTTTAAGAATCCACTGTATTAAAAAAAGCTGAATGAAATTTCCTTAAATAATAACATTTTCCTATGTTTTTCATTCTTTTTTCGACTTACCTTCCATTTTTATTGCATCCCTTCTATCCTTTGAGCTCCCAGACTGTCTTTGTGCCTTTTTGTTGTTGTTGTTAGGTGCCATAGAGTCCGTTCTGACTCTCAGTGACCCTGTGTACACAGAATGAAAAGCTGTCCAGTCCTGCACCATCCTCACAATTGTTACTATATTTGAGCCCATTGTTGTAGCCACTGTGTTAATCCATCTTGTTGAGGGTCTTCCTCTTTTTTGCTGACCCATCTCTCGGTCAGCAATTTTGGCAGTGGTCTAGTTCTGAAGTAAGTCTTACTACCTAGTTTTTCGAACATCATCTTGCCAAATTCCAGTTATGGGCAACCTTTCCACTGGCCTTCTAGACTTTGCCTTTGCTAATGATACTTGAAAAATATAAAAGATGGGCTAATTTTATCCACTGCATATTCATATATTCTAATTTTAGTTGAATATATTAATGGATAGTTTTTTTTTTTTTCCTTTTCTTATTGACTTCTATAAGGGGCCCTGGTGGCACAGTGGTTAAGCTGTTAACTGAAAGGTTGGTGGTTCAAACCCACCAACCACTCCTTGGGAGAAAGATGTGATAGTCTGCTTCCATAAGGATTACAGCCTGGAAAACCCCATGGGGCAGTTCTGCTCTATCCTATAGTGTCACTATGAATCAGAATCAACTCGAAGGTAATGGATTTGTTTTTTGATTTGTTTTTTATTAACTTCTATGGTTTTTGCAGTAACTCAGAGCATTTCCACTCTTATTGAGCCTTCAGTCTCCTCACTCTCTACAGATAATTCACCTGCTATACTTTTTTATTTTTTAAATTTGCCTGGGAGATTTGTCTCTTCTCTCCCATTTATTTATTTACTCAATCATTTATTTATATCAGTATGGACTCATGGATATTTGTTTTATACTTCGGGTTGTACTCAAATACTATGGTTTCTTTTTGCTCGAATTGTTCTAGCTTTGGAGCTACTTCATTTGGTTCCTGTGTCCATTTCACATAACCCCAACATTTTTTTTACCCACCTACTTTTTTTAAAAATTTTTTTATTGTATTTTGATGAAGGTTTACAGAAAAAATAGTTTCTCATTGAACAGTCAGTACACATATTGTTTTATGACATTGGTTAAGAACCCCACGATGTGTCAACACTCTCCCTTCTCGACCTTGAGGACCTTTTTTTTGGTGAAAATATACATAGCCAAAGTTACACCATTTGAAAGATTTCTACATGTACAATTCAGTGACATCGATTACATTCTTCCAGTTGTGCTGCTATTGTCACTATCTT